CCTCCACCTAGCGGCGCTAGCACACCGGGTTCTAGTCCCGGTCGGGGCCCTGGATTCTGTCCCGGTTGCCCCTCTTCCAGGCCAGCTCTCTGCTGTGGCCCGGGAGTGCAGTGGAGGATGGCCCAAGTGCTTGGGCCCTGCACCCCATGGGAGACCAGGAGAAGTACCTGGCTCCTGCCATCGGATCAGTGCAGTACGGCGGCCATTGGAGGGTGAACCAACAGCAAAGGAAGACCTTTCTCTCTGTCTCTCTCTCACTGTCCACTCTGCCTGTCAAAAAATAAAAAAAAGTATAAAAAAAAAAAAAGACTTTGCTTACCTAGGTTTCCACAAGTACCCTACTCCTTACAAAATGATGAAATCATCCAATGACATATTTCTCATAATGAATCCCCATCATTCACTGAGGATTAACTGTATAAACATGAGAATTCTTCCAGACTGTAGAAGAATACAAAAATATGAAAATGTTGAGAAAGAAATTATCAACAGAAATGATAGAAAATGGAGGCCTGTAAGGATCTGTGAGGCATCTGAGGAAATTCTGAGGAAACAGCAAAGCAATAAATCTGAAACAATAAGTTTAATAAATTTCCTGAGTTGAGAAATTTGCAAGTATAAAGAATTAAGGACAGATAGCTCTTGGTCAACAATTTCAAATCACATGGGTAGAGGAGGAAAAAAAGTACTAAAACCAATCAGGCTTAAAAAAAAAAACTTAACCTTTTAGATAATCATTGTGTGAGACTGGTTACCATGTTTGATAGCCTTTTTTTTTTTTTTTTAATTATTGGTGCTGTTATGTTGAAAACTTGATGGTAATGATTAAATAATTTTTCAACTGCTTGCAAATGTAGAACACTCTTCAAGGACTCACTAAACATTACCTTTGTAAATATCTGAGTACATAAACAGTTTGTTTACTGAGACCAAATAAGGGTTTTACTGCCAAGGAAACTAAAAAATGATACTTGGTATCTTTAAAATCTATATTAAATGACCTGTTAATGAGAAAAGACCAATAAGGCAGCCACTGGCAGACATAAGCGGTTATCAGGCTCTCTCAAAGCCATGTTCCATCTTGGAATTGCAAAGGACCCAATGGTAATCACACATAAAAATAAGTATGTGCCATACAACTTTGTGTCACAGCTTTTGCTGTATAATATACCACCCCAAAACTTGGTGGCTTACAACCATCATCATTCATTTGCTTACACAGGGAAAGAGATGTATCTCTTTTCTTCACCCAGCACAAAGTTCATGGATGGAACTTCTGTGGGGAAAAAAAACAACAGATTAACAAAAGCATAAAAAATACTTAATGCAAGTTTTGTATGACATGAGAGCCTTCAGAAATGAAGACCCAAACATGCAGGGATAAGTGTTTCTATGGGCAGCTGTGCAGAGGTATGACTGTAGGATTATGGGACAGAAGGGTTATGATCCAATGGTGATCAACTGGGTGGGGTGGAGAGGACTTTGCATGTCTGTTCAGATTCTTCGTGGCCCTTGCAAACAGGGTATGCCTTCTTTGGAATGAGGGTCTCATGACTTACTATCAGGGGAGTTTGGTTAGTGCATTCTTTCACAGCCTTTTTCAAGGAGAGAAAGGCAGGAGATCAGAGAGTGACTACTGCTTGTACAGTTTTTTTCATTTCCTTCGGTTTAAATACTCAGTATTCTAAGGTGCCATATGTAGCTCCCTGTCTTCGTGGAGGAACGACACAGGACCCTGCGCTGTTCTTTTGTCTGCTCGGCCCTCCCCGGGTTTGCTGCTGGTTCTTCCCGGGTTGGCTACCGACCCTTCCACCTCCGTGGAAGGGCGGTTCCCCCTGCCACTTTCCCCACTTCCGCGGGGGAGCGGCACACCGCCGGCCGGCTCTCTCGGGGGCTGCACAGGTGTTCCTTCAGATGTTCCTCTTAGATGTTCCCGGTGCATGTTGTCTCTCTCCTCCTTTATAGTCCTCTTCCACCAATCCCAACTCTGCTACCCACACGCCGAGTACACTGCTCTCCTCCAATCAGGAGCAGGTCCTGCTGTTTATTGGTTGAACTGGAGGCAGCTGTGTAGAAGCTGCTTCTCCCTTCTCAGTGCCATATTGTGGGAGAGCAGATGCATAGAATAAGTCTTAATTCCAGTAACTTAGTCTAGTCCGAGTTGCTCCCCACAGCCATAGAAAAAGATTTGTGTTTTGAGACCTGACACTGACAATTCTGTGATTGAGAGCTGGAGTGGGCTCAGCTGGGAGTCTCTCTAGGCATCACACACATGGCTGCAGTCTTCTGGTAACTGAACTGGCACTGGTTGTTGGCTGTGCCCCAGTGTCCAGCCACCTAGCACAGATTTATGGTGTAGCCATAATTTGTTGCAAGCAGAAGAGCTCCAATGTACTCTTTTGTTTTTAAATATTTATTTGGCAGGCAGAATGACAGAGAAAGAAAGGAAGAAAAGAGAGAGAGAAAGGAGAGAGGAGAGAGGACAGAGGAGAGAGGAGAGGGAAGGAGAGAGAGAGAGAGAGAGAGAGAGAAAGAGAGAAAGAAAGAGAGAGAGAGAGAGAGAGAGAGAGAATGAATCTTCCATCTGCTGGTTATTCCCCAAATGTCTACAACAGCCAGGAACTGGATCTGGGTTTCCCACATAAGTGGGCCATTATTTGCTCCTTTCCAGGAATATAGGTAGGGAGCTGGATGGAAGTGGAGTAGCTGAGACTCAAACAGGTGCCCCGATATGGGATGCTGGGGTTGAAAGCACTGTCTTAACCCATTGTGCCACAAAGCCCCTCACCCTATGTGATCTTTTTCAAGTGTGTGCTTGCATCAGGTCTGCTGTATCCCACTATTACAGGCAAGTCACATGGCCAAACCTAGAGTTAAGGGAGAAAGGGACTATACACAAGGGCATGGATGTCGGGAAGCTTGTCCATTACAGGGATGTTCATTCAAAGATGTTCAAAGCATTATTCATAAAATAAAAAAACTAAAAATAATCTAATTGCCCAATTTTAGAGATTAGCCAGGCAGGCCCATATAATGGGAAATAAAATCATTTTTTAAAGATTTACTTAGTTATTTATTTGAAAGGCAGAGTTACATAGAGGCAGAGGCAGAGAGAGAGAGAGAGGTCTTCCATCCAATGGTTCACTCCCCAGATGGCTGCAACAGCCAGAGCTGCGCCAATCCAAAGCCAGGAGCCAGGAGCTTCTTCCTGGTCTCCCACGCAGGTGCAGGGGCCCAAGGACCTGGGCCATCTTCTATTGCTTTTCCAGGCCACAGTAGAAAGCTAAATCGGGAGTGGAGCAGCTGGGTCTTGAACTGGTGCCCATATGGGATGCCGGCACTGCAGGTCGTGGCTTTACTTACTATGCCACAGGGCCAGCCCCTAAAATTATTTTTTAAAATCATCAAATAAAATAATATTTATTGATAACAGAAAGTACTCAGATTAAATTTATGGTAATTATCTAGAAAGTAGCATAAAGTATATATAATATTTTTATAAAAATTATATATGGACAGGTGCTATGGCACAGTGGGTTAAACCACCACTTGCAATGCCAGGATCCCTGGCTTGAGTTGTGCCTCCTCTGCTTCCAATCCAGTTCCCTGCTAATGTGCTTGGGAAGGCAGTGGATGATGGTTCAAGTACTTGGGTCCCTGTCAGCCACATAAGAAACCTGGATGCATTTCCAGTCTCCAGGCTCGTGGCTTCAAGCTGGCAAGGTCCCAGCCATTGTGGTCATTTGGGGAGTAAATCAACAGATGGAAGATCTCTCTCTCTCTCTCTCGCGCTCTCTCTCTCTCTTTCTCATTTTGTCATTTTGCAGCTCAACTAAATAAATAAATCTTTAAATGTGTGAATATATAAACACATATCACAGGGATGAAAGACTAAATGAATGGACTAAAGGAACTCAAAATTCTGAAAGTGATTACAAGTACAACAATATGGATTCTGAAGTGAGACAAACTGGGTCTGCAAAACTAGGCAAGTAAATTTGATCCATTATTTCACTTTTTTAAATCTGTTTCCTCGTCGACTATAAATACAGTAAGAACTCTGTAGGCTCTCAATTAAATATCATGCTAGTAGAGTAGTTGGCTAACTAGAGATTGTTAGTATTACTCTTATTTGTTAAATAAAGAGTAAGCTTTCTTTTGTTTATTCTCCATCTTTGGGGGGAGGTGACACTGAATTGTTTGTACTTCATGACAGTCACTAAAAAGAACAGCAAAAGCATTTTTTGAAATCACTGGCCCTGGGGACTTTGCTTAAAGGTTAAGTGAGCCCCCACAGAGATAGAAACTCAGCCAAAGCCCAAGTGTTCTGACCCTGTTTGAGCAAAGGGAAGGCTTCTGTTTAAAGAGGAGCAGGAAACAAGCTCCCCTGCAGAGAAGCTGCCAGCCAGGAAGGGCTCCCTGTACACAAGAAAGACAAATCACAAAGTCCAGGCAGGACATTTCTTGAACAAACGGGTTACATTGCACAGAGTACCACTGACAGCTGGGAAATAAACCCAGAGAGGGTCAGATCTACTCCACGGCGGGTCATTTCCTGTGCCCACAGCCTGCCAACTTGGAAAGAATGGATCTAATGACATGCTCTTTACTTTTTTTTTTTTTTTAATTTATTTTATTTATTTGAAAGATGGAGTTAGAGAGAGAGGTAGAGACAGAAAGACAGGTCTTCCATCCACTGGTTCACTCCCCAGATGGCCACAATGGCCGGAGCTGCGCTGATCTGATGCCAGGAACTAGGTGCTTCTTCCCGGTCTCCCATGTGGGTGCAGGGGACCAAGAACTTGGGCCATCTTCTACTGCTTCCCCAGGCCACAGCAGAGATCTGGCGATCAGAAGAGGAGCAGCCAGGACTAGAATTGGCGCCCACAAGGGAAGCCAGCGCCTCAGGCCAAGGCTTTAACCCGCCTCGCCACAGAGCCAGCCCCATACTCTTTACTTGGAAGGTTTCATTACCAACATTATTTTTCACCACGATGTGATGTATAACGGGGGAGAGTTAGGTTCTAGGCTGAAGGTCCCATAGTGAAAGTCTGATTAACAAGTGAAAAGCATATGAAGTTACTACAGAAGTGTTAGGCAGCACAGGAGACTTCAGAAATGAAGACCCAAAGAGGCAGGGAAACTTGGGTGTTTTTTTATGCGAAGTTTGATGAAGAGGTGGACAGTCATACGAAGTAGGATTGGACAAAGGGCTATGATTTAATGGTGATCACGGGGAAACCTCATGTTTGGATTTTTTCTCTCTGTGCCCATGTCTTCACAGATAACAATATTCCTTTCCTCTGGGGATAGGGTAGGCAGCTCTAGAATAAGAGTCTTAAGACCTCAGAGGAAGAGCCACTAGGTATATGGGCTGCCTCAGGGGGAGCAGAGGAGAGGGAAAGGGGAAAGAGACTACCCTATTTCTGCTGTTTTCTCAAATGCCACCGTCCTATATTTTGGCAAGTCTTGAATTACACCTGATGTTTTGTACCCAAATTAATTCATAGGCAGTTTGCTTTCACACTAACAACTCACATTTTAATATAAAACTACCACCAAAAATATTCACTACATTAGATTCAGGCAGGACAGGAACATTATTATATTCAGCAAAGAACAAAGGCTAATGATATTTCACAAATTTCATTAAGTATAGTGTAAGTAAATATGGCAAATTATACAAACTCAGCACATCTGGATTACAGTCTGATTCAGATATTGCAAACATGTTGAGGGCCAAGTTATTGTTCTATATTGTTTGCAGTTTCCTTAACACCTAGCAAAGTATTTTCACAAGTAATACCTGGGGCTTGACTGGCTTTGTTGATTAATATCCAAAACAGTTGAATTGATGTTTTGGTGGTATTGCTGCCTTGCAAGTACAGGTTCAACTCCATAACCAGAAGGAACCCTTTTAATTTTTTTTAGTGAAATCTCAATGAAATTCTTACTTTTAAAGTGCTATTATGGCAAAGGAACAGTGAAATTTTGAATGGCTATTTGGAGAAGCAAAAAGCTGACAGCAAAACTCTGTTTTCCACTGAAGTGGGAAGTCCATTCTTGACAAGTTATTCATCCCAGGCACAAGCACAAGACCTGAACTTTAATTCAGGAGAAGATTGATTTTAAAACAATTTCTTTTTAGTCTGCTTCATTTCTTTTAAAAATGCCTGTTTCTCTTTCTCTCTGTCTCTCTCCCTCTCCCCATCACTGTCTTTCAAATAAACAAATCTTGTTTTTAAAAGGCAAAAGGAAAAAGCTTTATAGTAAAAAAAAATAAAGAAATCAAAATGTACTTTATTCTAACACTTAGTAGGCAGGTATATGTATATTTAATCTACTCTTTGAATGTGTTTTAATCCAGCCTTGTGCATCGGGCCCATCTTTTCATTTCCATTAAAAAATTTGCATGCACCCTTGATATAAGACTAAACTTATAGTCATGCAGTAATGTTCTAAAAGGGAATTTGATATAAACTTGATTTAATAAAAACATTTTTGTTTACACCAAGATCATTGGAAATAGGTTGATCAGTCATTATAACACTTACCATATGATTCTATTAAGTAGCCAGTTCAATAGCATGTATATCCACTTATATAGATTGATAGTTAGCTTTTGGATGTTTGAGGCATGCTTATATGATGAAAAACATCATTTGTAATAAACACTACATGTTAATAATAAAAGTTACATTTAAAAAAATACAAACATATTTGTAAAATATTTCTATAAATAACAAGCTGTGTTCATATCATGATTTAAATTTCTTGTAATAGGTCATTTCAAATGTATATAAAGGTAGACAGAATAACATTATGAACACCCATACACGGAGCACCAGTCCCATCACCAACTCAGGGCTCTTCCTGTCTGGTTACACCCTTATCCATTTCTCTTTGCCCCAAATTATTGTGAAACAACTCCAAGACATTATGCTATTTTATTCACTATTATTTAGGTTAATTAGGAAAGTAATTGACCTAAAAGATAAGGATTTTGCTTTCTCAAATAACTATATTAATAATTACTTAATATCACTGAGTGGCTATTATTTAAATTTCTAATTTTTGTTACAGGGCAAAACAATCAGGCACTTGCTGCTCACCACTGGACAGCTGAATAGCAAGAGATAAGAGTTGGTAAGAGGAAATAGTTTATTTCAAGAACTCTGCAGTCTTGGGGGAAAAGTGATCCTCTGGATCCAAAACACATTCTTTCCCACACAACCAGCCAGCAAAAAGGTTTTTAAAGGGAAGGAGTAGTTGCTGGTGGAGGGTAGGGGGGAAAAAAACAACAACAACAACAATGAGTTCAGTCAATTGATAATTAAGCAGATTTTCAGACTTCATTCTGATGACAGTCCAACCAGGAAATCCAGGATGTCAGCCAGGCTGGAAGTTTCTTGATAATGGAGATTAATTGTTTGCAGATGCTAATTGCATACTTGCTCTGGGATGGGCAGGCAGGTAGGTTGGTCTGTAGAACTATATCCTCCCCCAGCTGGGTGTGAGGTCTGCCATTCTAAGTCATCTCATTTCAGTAGGCTCCAGAAATTCCCATGCAAATATTATTATTCACTGGTCACAGGTAATTTACAACACCAGCAGCCAGCCCTCATCAGCCAAAACATGAAAAGAGAGGATGCCTGCATTACCGTTTTAATATCTCATAACAATTGTCACAAATGGATTTGTGGTTTTAAGGTCTATCACTTTGAATCAGGATCCAAGTAAAGTCCACTTATTGCAATTGATCATCATATCTTTTTTTGTAAAGAATTATTTATTTTATTTGAAAGGCAGAATTACAGAGAGGCAGAGACAGATCTTCCATCTGTTGGTTCACTCCCCAGATGGCTGCAATTACCGGAGCTGGGCCAATCCAAAGCCAGGAGCCAGGAGCTTCTTCCCAGTCTCCCACATGAGTGCTGGTACCCAAGGACTTGGGCCATCCTCTACTGCTTTCCCAGGCCAAAGCAGAGAGCTGGATAGGAAGTGGAGCTGCTGGGTCTTGAACCAGCACCCATGTGCGATGCTGGCACTGCAGGTGGCGGTTTTACCCTCTATATCACAGCACCAGCCTCTATCATCATATCTCTTAAGTCTCTATTAATCCATAAACTCCCTTGCCAATCTGTGAGAGTGGTTTATTTCTACTGATGAATTCAAGTTGTGTGTCCCTTGGTTTCCTCCAGTGGTTTGCTGATTACACCTTCAGAGTTTCACTTGCTCTCTCTATTCCCTGTATTTTCTGTAAATTGGTAATTGAATGGTAAAGATTTGATGAATTCAGATTTTTTGTTTGGGACTTTGGAGGAAGTGGGCAGGATCTTTTCTCACTGGCATTCTGCTGGATAATATCATTTTCAATGCAGTATTTTAAATATATATCTCCCTTTGGTGTGGGCATGGGGTGTATTAATTTTACCTCAGGCCCTTTCCTGCACCAAGTCAAACATTCTAAGTGCAGACAGGTATAAAGTACAAAGAGTGATCATAAAATTCATTCAAAAGGTGAGAAAGCAAACACACACACACACACACACAGGTAGGCATGGGTTGCCTCACATGGATAAATGCCTGTCATGAGTGGGCAGTGGGCCAGAAGATTTCCCAAAGAGAGGATAGGTGAGGGAGGAGAGAAGAAAAAGGGCACCCACATAGCACCTCCAGCTGACCTGAAGTGAATGAGAGCAAGAGAGAGCCTCTCCCATTTGTTGGCTGCTTTTATGAGGTAGGTGGTGGTGCAGTGCCTCCACAGGTATGAAATCACCTGGGAATTTTATAGCACCTCCACGAGTTCCATGTGGAGCTTAATATCAATATTTTCAAGGTGTCCCCTCTTAGGTCCCAGATGAAGCAGTTGCATCCCAGGAAAGGCGGCATTTCAATTGACATGTAGGAGGACGGAACTATATATGGAGGCTTGTAGCTTATCACTGGCCTATCTCTTATCACCTTTTTCTCTTGGGTCACCCTTGCTTTTGTTTTGCCTACACCATAATATACCAGTAACCCATATTAAAAACACACTGCATATTCCTTTATATATTCTATAAGTTGACTTAAATATCTCTTTGCACATGCACACATGTAGATTCCCTCATTACTTTACAAAAATGAGGTCATGAAAAGCCTCCCAAGTAGTAGAGCTCTAATATAATGCATTTAATGTCTGCATTCCATTTTGTATATGTACCATTCCACCAGCCGTAGGCACTTACTTTGATTCTTTTTTTTTTTTTTTTTTTTTTTTTTGCCACATCTTTTCATATACACTGGTATACAGTACTGGCTTTTATTTTTATAAAATTATTTCTTAAGAAGGAGACTGATGGGTCAAAAAGTAATATAATTTTCATTTTCATAGATTTTTCTGGATAATTTTCAAAAAAAGCTGTAGCAATTCATGTATCTACCAGCAGAAGATGTGACCACCCTTTTTCCATGTTCTAAAACAATCTCAAAGAACTAACTAGTAGCAGGAGTCATTCAAGAAGAGGAAACATTTCTAAGAAATTCCTTAACCAGCAATTAAGGAGCTAACAGTAATGATTTCTCAATATAAAGAGTCTTAGCCATAATTATTTCTCATATACCAAATAGGCCTAGCACAGGGACAGCAGTTCAGAATACTCCAAAACAGGGTCTGAAAAAGGTTTAACTGCTTAGAATCATCTCTAACTCCCCTCCATGGATCTCAGTAAGTTCTTTCCTACTAAACAGTATTTATATGTTACGCAATTAGATAATATATGGCAGTGGATCTTAATTCCATTTAGTCCTTTCCTCAGGTCAGTTAAGATTCTGGGCAAAAGAAGCCCAAGATTGAAAGAAATCAGGAAACCTAGCAAGAGGATCATTCTTAACCCAAGAAATATGTTTCAGTGTCCTACATATGACGGTCACACAAAAGAAGTACCCACATCCTTCCTCTGTTGGAGTCACATTTTTCTTACTAAGCCTCCACCCTGATGTCTCACAAGTTTCCCTATTGCTGGGAATCCCCAGTTTTTCTGGTCCTCAGTTACCTCTATTGTCATTCATCTTCTCCCTAGCTCTGACTGCATTTCTGGTACAATGACCTCCCATATAATACTCCTCATCCTATTTTTCAACCTTGGACCGCCTATTTGAGTAAGCTGAAAGAACGTGTTCTGCAAATAAGGAAACTCTTTCTTCAAAGACTCTATGAATGTCTCCATGACTCAGTTCCTAACTATTAGTATTTTTAAGGATCTTACACAGAGAGGAACAGATTAGCCCAGCTTCATTTTACAGTTAGGAGAGTCATGAAAAGCCAAATGAGTAACAAAGCTCCTAGCTATGCAGGTCAAAGGTGTTATTGGTATAAGAAGGATGACCCATGGACAGGTTCCCTTTACTGAGGAAATAAAAGAACTGTCCATTGCCAAAGGGAGGAGGAAAAAAACACCAAGTACACTGGTAAAAATGTGAAGTAATGTGACACATAATAGTTATGCAGAAACACACTCCACTGATAGAGATCTTGAGAGAAAATTGCATTATTACATCAGGAAGGAGGAGGTCAACATATATCACCAGCCTCAGTCTCCTGGCCAGTTTCACAAAGGAGACACCAGACATACTCCAAGAGTTGGATCGATTCCAGCCTGCAGTGCAGAGTAAGTGGTCTTCTCCATTTGACTTTCATTTCAGATTATCCATTACTTGGACCTCTACAGTCCAGTAGAGTTGTGAGAAACCTGATGTACACTGCCTAAGACAGTCTTGGGTCTGGGTATTCTTTGGATTTGGGAATGTTTAAGTGTTTGGAAAATAATAGCCAAGGTAAAAATATGGGAGAAGAGGGGACTATAGATCTAGAAGAAAAAAAATCATATCTTTGGGGCTGGCACTGTGGCACAGCAGGTTAAAGCCCTAGCCTGCAATGCTGGCATCCCATACGGGCGCCAGTTTGAGTCCCAGCTGCTCCAATTCCGATCCAGCTCTTTGCTATGGCCTGGGGAAGCAGTAGAAGATGGCCCAAGTCCTTGGGACGCTGCAACCATGTGGGAGACCTGGAAGAAGCTCTTGGCTCCTGGCTTCGGTTTCAGCTCAACTTTAGCCATTGTAGTCATTTGGGGAGTGAGCCAGCGGAATGGAAGATCTCTCTCTCTCTCTGGCTCAACTTCTCTCTATAACTCTTTCAAATAAATAAAATAATTCTTTAAAAAAATAACCATACCTTTAGCATTTTGTTGATAGTACTATCCATATAATTACAATCCAGTTATCAAAAACTGAAATTTACATTTGTATGAAATCTACATACAACCTTTTATTTTAGAAAACTAGGAAAAGATCAAATGGTAACTGAATTCTGGATGATTTTACACTGATATGTCATATTTGATGACCAGAAGTTTATCGTAGGAAGCATTCTGAATCAAGTTATGCATTAAAAGATGCATTGTAAAAGGGTAGCATGAAAGACAGCTTAGCCCTTAAGATGCGAATTGAAATGCAAACACAGCCTGCATTAGGCATTGCTAACACATGCGTCCCATAACTGAACATCTAAAAGGGCCCCTTGACAAGGAGAAGGAAGGTTCTAACCCCAGTGCTAGGGCACTAAACCTGAACTCTTGAATTGGGTCCACTGGAATTGAGGGACATGCCAGACACATGGCAAAGATTCCCTTTGGCAAATTTTTATGACAAATCAGCCTAAATATTTGAATCAAGAGTCTATGTGGGAAGCTTTTGAAACAGGACTTCATTAGATTCTTGAGTAAAAAAAAAAACCTTATTATTGTTATATTGTTGTTATATTATTGTTATATTGTTGGCTCTTTTCCCTTCATTACTCCATGACCTGAGGCTCTCTCCACCTCTCAGTGACAATATTCTGCTCTAACCTGCCACAAGAAGGGTCCAGTGTTGATTTGTGGCTTTCTTCCTTTTTTTTTTTTTTTTTTTAAGATTTATTTATTTGAAAGAGTTACACAGAAGAGAGAAGTAGAGACAGAGACAGAGAGAGGTCTTCCATCCACTGGTTCACGCTCCAATTGGCTGAAATGGCCAGAGTTGCGCTGACCCAAAGCCAAGAGCCAGGAGGTTTTTCCCGGTCTCCCACGTAGGTGCAGAGGCCCAAAGACTTGGGCCATCTTCTACTGTTTTTCCAGGCCATAGCAGAGAGCTGGATCGGAAGAACAGCAGCCGGGACATGCACCGGCACCCATATGGGATGCTGGCACTGCGGGCAGTGGCTTTACCCGCTATGCCATAGCACCAGCTCCAATTTGTGGCTTTCTTTATGTGGATTGAAATCAGTGTTTTGCTTCTCTTAGGGGTTTCATGTTAAAGCCTTACTTTGACTTGGGGAGTATTAAAAGGGAAGAAGTATGTTTGGCACATTTGGGGCTCCATATTTACCTGAGTGTATTTCATTCAGTCTTGGTTTTTTATTCCCTTGGAGCAAAAAGATCCCCCATTTAATTAATTTATTTTTAAGATTTATTTATGTATTTGAAAGAGTTACAGGAAGAGAAAGGATGAGACAGAGTAAAGATCTTCCATCTGCTTGTTCACTCTCCAGTTGATCCCAACAGCCAGTACTAGACCAGGCTGAAGTCAAGAGCTTCATGCGTATCTCCCAAATGTATGACAGGGGCCCAAACACTTGGGCCATCTTCTGCTGCTTTTCCCAGACCATCAGCATACAGCTGGATGGGAACTGGTGCAGCCAGTACATGAATCAGTGCCTATAGGGGATGCTGGCATTGCAAGCGGCAGCTTTGCCTGCTAGGTTAAATGCCAGCCCCTCCTCCATTTAATTTAAAAGGTGATAGTAGGGTCTCAACTTTACTTAGATGGATGTGTTTGTTCATATGCTCACTTCAGCTGAGTCATCATGAGCTGTATTTTTCTTTTTTAAAGATTTAGTTATTTGACAGACTGACAGAGAGGAGCAATAAAGGGGAAGTGGTGGGGGAGAAAGAGAGAATTAATTTTCCATCCATTAGTTCACTCTCCAAATGGCCAGAGCTGGGTCAGGCCAAAGTCAGGAGACTGGAACTGCATCCAAGTCTCCTACATGTAGCAGGAGCCCAAGCACTTGGGCCATCTTCCACTGCTTTCCCAGGCACATTTGCAGGGTGCTGAATCAGAAGTGGAGCATCTGGGACTCACACTCTGGTACTCCAATATAGAATGCCAATGTTGCAAGCAGTGGCTTAACCTGCTGAACCACAACACCAACACCTGCATTTTTCAAAGGAACACAGAGCCCGAGAAATCTAAGGAACACAGAAATAAACCAGCATACAGTGAAACTGAAAATAAAAAACAACAACAACAAAAAACCCCAGTGGAGTAGGGTTCTTACCTATCTGTATGACTAAAATTCAGAGGCAGGTTATCAGGTTCAAGGGTAGATATTAACCCCATCACTTGCCTTCATCACCTGTAGCCTCAATACTTTCTATTGAAGCCCCGGGAAATGCCAGGTCAACTGAGATGCTCTGAACAGAGCACCTTTGGGAGAGAAAGAGGCATCCTTTCCTATTCTCAGTGGTCACAGGTCCAGAGACCATGCCTATAAACTAGCTTTGCTATACCTTAAAACACAAATTAGTGCTGATAAGTAATTCCAAAACCTTGTTTCATTACATTGCTTTTGTCTCCTCGCTCATCAATCTCCTTTAAATATGGTAAAAAGAATCATCACAGACTGATTTCATGTACTTGCTCTCTTGGGAGGGCTGGGGTACTAACTAAACAAAGGTGCGTTACTAACTAAACAAAGGTGTGTTACGAGAATGAAGATCATGAAAAATAATCCTAATTCAAAAGTTAAGGTATTGCAACAATGCACTAAGCAGTTCACAAAATGTTTCTATGTTACATTAGTTCAGCTGCTGAATTTGCCCAAAGGTTCCTACTGGTAGAAAGGGAATGTTATGAGTCATGTTTTTCATTCCTTCTATAAGCAGCTAAATTTAGTTTACTCTTAAAGATACTGTCAATTCCTTTGAAAACACATGACTTACAGCTTCTTGCCTTCCTTTATCCATGAAAGAGATTTAATCATCATTCAGTGTCACAAGCACTGACTCACAGAGTGAGGAGAGAGCCTAAGGAGCCTCCACACGTGTAGGCTCTCAGAGTTTGCACAGGCACCTTGACCTCAGGAAGATCTTGGTCAGAGTGGCACAACTCTTCCTTCCCCTGCGCACAGCAGCAAGGTTGCAGTCAGCTGAGCAAGTCCACCAGCAGTGTTTGCATCTCAACTCAACTTTAAAAAGGTAACGGATGAGGGAGTTTTGACATTTATTTCTTCCTTTTCTTCACTCTTCCATAAAGAATCAAGTTGTCTTTCAAGCTGTGGTCAACTGTTGCTATTCTTATTATTTTTTAATGTGATATGTTGGAAGGCAGTGATATGCTCTGAGTTCATCTCACCACAGAAATGAGATCCATGTGGCCTGGGATCTTAGCTTAGACTCCTCCGGGTCTGTCTCTGACTGTCCTTTAGCACCCAGGAGTCACAATTAATTCATATCTTGTTCTTTTTCCCTCTGGGTCTATTTGATACCATCTATGAGTCTTATGATTACTTGGAAACTGGAGAGGGAAGGGCTCCAAAAAGCACAGAAATTTTAATGAGTTTCTTACTAGAGCAACAGATTTATAACTGCAAGTCTGATCTGCCTGCCTACCTGCTTTACCAACGTTATCAACTGTTGATTTACAACAGGTGTGTGCATATGCGAATGTACACACACATATACACCAAAGTGAGTGAGAAAATGCCTTGTAGGTCATAAGGAAGCAGGGTAATTCCTGGTATTGTACATCTGATGCCTGGATTCTGGGATGACAGCATAAAACCTGCTTCAGGCATTTGCTGTTCATTTTATGGCGCAGTGCTTTGGATGGTGGTGTGACCTTCTTTCTCTATGACTTGACTTTTAGCAGGAGGGGAGAAAAGCTGAAATAAGACATATTCAGTTTAGGGTTGGACAAAGGACTCTGAAATGTCTTGCTACGCCATTAGCCCAAGGATAGGGATTGTGCATTCTCCTAATATCCCTCGGCACACATTTGGCTAGATTCTGCATACAATGAGAGCTGATGATACATCATCTTTGTGCTGTATTTTCTGAGATTTGAAAAGGGTGCCAAATTTGTACAACAAATATCAATGTTAACTGCAAGGGGGAAAAAAATCCCTACCTCAAACATTTAAAGGGAGGGGGCTGGTTTTTTTTTTTTTTTTTTTTTTTTTTGACACGCAGAGTGGACAGTGAGAGAGAGAGAGAAAGGTCTTCCTTTGCCGTTGGTTCACCCTCCAATGGATGCCGCGGCCAGTGCGCTGTGGCCGGCGCACCACGCTGATCCGATGGCAGGAGCCAGGTGCTTCTCCTGGTCTCCCATGGGGTGCAGGGCCAAAGCACTTGGGCATCCTCCACCGCACTCCCGGGCCATAGCAGAGAGCTGGCCTGGAAGAGGAGCAACCGGGACAGAATCTGGCGCCCCGACTGGGACTAGAACCCGGTGTGCCGGCGCCGCAGGAGGCGGATTAGCCTAGTGAGCCGCGGCGCCGGCCTGGGGGGGGGGGGGGCTGGTTTTTAAATGCTTATAATGAACAGAACCTTCTTAAGGGACCATATCTAAAAAT